CTCTTATTTCTGACATACTGGAAAAGGTGCTGCTCCTTTTTGGATTCCATTCCTTCTTGAGAGACCGTGATCCAAGATGTTTTCCCTCGTTTTTTATCTTTTTTTTTTTTTTTTAAAGTATCACTCTGCCCAGCTAAAAAGCCATGGCATCAGCCTAACTCAGCTGCAACCTCAAATTTCTGGGTTCAAATGTCCTCCCTTCTTTCTCAGCCTCTCAAGAGTGCTAGGCTTATAGGCACGAGCCATTATGCCTGGATAATACCTGCCATTTTTCTTGGATGCTCAGCAGAACCCTATGATGAAATTGAGGCATGGTCAAAGCCAGAGTCCTATAACCACAAGATGGCTATCAAAGGGGCTTGGCCCCTGTGGCTCAAGGGGCTAAGACACCAGCCAAATACACCTAAGCTGGCTGGTTCAAATCCAGCCTGAGCCCATCAAACAGTGATGGCTGCAACAACAACAAAAATAGCCAGGCTTTGTGGTGCGTACCTGTAGTCCCAGCTACTTGGGAGGTGAAGGCAGGAGACTCACTTGAGTCCAGGAGTTGGAGGGTGCTGCAAGCTGTGATGCTATATGGCACTCTACCAAGTGCAACAGCTTGAGTCTCCGTCTCAAAAAAAAAAAAAAAAAACTGTCAAAGGGACTTGTTTAGGGATGTCCAATATGCTGTGTTTGTATATATATTTTATTATATTTTTAGACAGTCTCAAACTGTCACCCTGGGTAGGGTGCTGGAGGGTCATAGCTCACAGCAACCTCCAACTCTGGCTCAAGTGATCCTCATGCCTGTTTTTTAGTTTTACTAGAGATGGGATCTCACTTTTTGCTCAGTCTGTTCTTGAACCCTGAGGTCAAGTTAGCCAGCTTCCAGAGTGCTAGGATTACAGGCATAATCACCACACCCAGCCCCAATATGCCATTTTAAGAGACTGGATCCTTGCATTTTAGTCCCACACCCTTACCAGGACATGCATATCTACCCTGGCGGTTAAGCAGTCCCCCTTCCACCAGTAGTACTTAAGTTTTCTCCACCACAACTTCGTGTAATGCTTTTACTTAGAACATAAATCCTTGAGGTTCAGCTGGTCTTAATGCTGAGCAGTGTTCTATTGTGTGCCATAAATTGCTTACCCATTCTCCTGTTAATGTTTCCAGTGTTTGGCAAATATGTGTAAAGTTGTTAGAAATACTTGCAAAAATAATTTTGTTGCTTCTGGATGTGTGGCAGTATTAGCCATTCTCTTCATTAAAGGACGTGTTCTCATGTTTCTCGGCCTTTGAATATTAATGTATAAATTTGGTTGTTTTTCATTGTTATAGGAATCTTTGATATTTTCGAATGCAAGTTCCTTGTCAGGTATTTTACAAGTATTTTTTCCTCATTGTGTGTCTTGACTTCGCTTGCCTTAATGTCTTGATGAGCAGAAGTTATTTTCAAAGACATCTGAATTTATCAATTTTTTAAATGGACCTTTTTCTATCTAAATAAATCTGCCTATCTCCAGATTGTGATGGCGGTATTCTGTCTTTTAATAAAACATTTTAACTTTTACATTAAGGGCTGTCACAAATGAATGACTATATGTGGTGTAAGGTAGGGTTTGACCTTCATTTTCTTCCCATCTAATTACAGTACTATTTGTTGAAAAGACTTCCTTTCTTCATTAAATTTGAGGCCTGTAAATAGTGTATTTCTGGAGTGTGTTCTCTTTCATTGATGCAGTGTTTCATTGATCCATGTTCTAATAATCGCACTGAGTACTTTTTTTTTTTTTTGAGACAGAGTCTCACTATGTTGCCCTGGGTAGAGTGCTGTGGCATCATAGCTCACAGCAACCTCCAACTCTTGGGCTCAAGCAATTCTCTTGCCTCTGCCTCCCAAATAGCTGGGACCACAGTCGCCCACCACAACGCTGGGCTATTTTTGGTTGCAGCCATCATTGTTTGGCACCGGAGTTGGATTGGAAGCCACCACCTTAGGTGTATGTGGCTGGCACCTTAGCCACTTGAGCCACTGGCCCCGAGCCAACTTTTTTTTAAATCTTAAGCAGTGGTCCACTATTGTTCTTTTCAAGAGAGATTACTTTGTCTTTATGTAAATTTTTTTGTCTTCTCTGTGAATTTTTTTTTTTTTTTTTTTTATGTAGAGACAGCATCTCACTTTATCACCCTAGGCAATTCTCTTGCCTCAGCATTCTGAGTAGCTGGGACTACAGGTGCCCTCCACAATGCCTGGCTATTTTCTTTTTTTGAGACAGAGCCTCAAGCTGTCCCCCTGGGCAGAGTGCCGTGGCATCACAGCTCACAGCAACCTCCAACTCCTGG